TGCAAATGATTAGCGACCTTGTGGTTTTCTGCAATCGATGCCTCAAATGTGGTGGTTTTTTGCAATTCACTCTATAAGTGAAGAGCAAACCGACAAAAATGACATGTGGGTTGACAATCGACGTCGGATAGTTGATCTTGTGACAAAATTGGCTAATGACCTATCCAAAATTGTCTCGGGCTGGCTTATAACCATAAAAGGCAAACCGACAAAAATAACACGTGGGTTGACAATCGACGTCGGATAGTTGATCTTGTGACAGAATCAACTAATGACCTATCCAAAATTGTCTCGGGCTGGCTTATAACCAAAATAGGCAAACCGACCAAAATAACACGTCAATTGACAATTAACATATGTGCGAAGTTCATGACACAATTAACCAATGACCTCCCTGGAGTTGTTTTGCATTGGCTTATCAAGATACAAACGAATACAATATTAAAGAACAAGAGATGCTCCCTCCGATCTGAACTAATTGACGCAGTTAATTCGGATCGAAGGAAGTAGGTAATATAACACATATGAAAAAGAAAAATGATAAACACCTGAATAATGCAAAAGCGTCCGCAGCTAGTTCTCTCATATTTTTTGCTAGTGGCAGGCCATATATCAGGTAGGGCACAGGAGTATGCGTGAGAGAGAGAGGGAGTCCTTGAAGAATGTGTAATCCATCGCCCATGATAGACCCTAGGTTTAGTGGGTGATTATTCAAAGGATTTTCGCAGGATTTTTTTGCCTACGCAACAAACTTTTGTCGCGGATTCAAACCCGTCGGCGTGTGCAACTTATAGGGGCCTTTTCGATTCACAAAATCCTAAAAACTCAGGATTAGAAAAACACATAGAATTGGAATATCATTATCATTTAAATGATATAGTATTTGGGGTTGTTTGACTGCATCGTAAGAAAAACAAAAGGATTTTTCAAAAAGGTTTGAGTGGATGCTAGAAATTCCATGGAAAGTAATACAAAGAAATCCTTAGAAAAAAATTCCCATATGAATCAATCCTATGAATCAAACAACCAACATATGGAAAAAATCTAATGAATTCTAATCCTCCAAATTCCTATGAAAATCCTTTGAATCGGCTTCTTTGATTAGTTTAGTTGTGCTAGCTAGGAGGCTCATCGGCCGTCTCTCTCGCTTGTAGGACACTACTCTTGTGCTATGAACCCGGCTCGAAAGATGCACCGAATGAAGAGAAGACCGTGAATTCTTGGGGCTTGGGAAGGGTTTATGCTTTGTATGGAGAAAGAGGTCATGGAATTGCTTACTCAAAATTTATCTCAAGACCTGATAACTAGAAACTATGAATTTTTAGCCCTAAAAACAGTTGTAACAGCTGCATGAGGTCACGAAAAAACATGGGTATGCACCCATATTTTGCTTACAATGAGGCATATTTAGGTCCAATCTACCAGAAGATCCATCCAACCCAAGACTGGAGCAGAAAAGCCAACCACATGAATGGGAAGTTTAACCTCCGCGCTGGTCGATTCCGTCCGCCATCGTCAACACCCACGCGGTCACCCCGAGCCCTGCCGTGGCCCCAACGACCCCCACTTGAGCTTGCCATTGCCTAGCCGATTCCGGTTGTCGTCGCTTAGGCATGGTCGTCGTCAAGCTTGAACTGGAGTCAGCGCGCACTTGGCCTGTAATGACCGACGCACCGCGCTTGGGCCAGGTCATGCGGTCGAACTTGGCCATCGCCCCGGCTCCTAACACTGTTCCTCAACCTCCGTCGACCGAAAGCAATCTCGGTACCCGTGAGGTGTTCAAGGAATTCCCCAAAGGGTTTTTATTTTTATTTTTTACTCATTTCCTGATTGAATATGATGTAGTTGTAGTATGTTGCATAATATAATAGTTGAAATGTGTAATTTTACATTGAATTTTAATTTGCCATGAACCTGAAACCAACAACCAAAGATCTATTCGACATATCTAGGCCAAAGGATGCAAGCATCACACGTCGTTAAATAGAGATCAAAGTGCTAAACAACAAATACGACACATGTGCTAGTAACTAACGTAGTCGCAAAATTCATGGCTAATTCGACCGCTGCTTGCTAAAACAAGCAAACTAAAACAACAAAAGGCAACTGATATAACACTAAAATGATAAAACAACCGAAGAATATAAGAGAACTGCTTGGGTATTTTGCTACATAGTATTGCGATGATGGTCCTAAAACGGTTACATTGTTAATTAGTGGAGTTATGCGGTTTGTTTTGGAAAGCAATTGCTGGAACATCAACAATGCTATATAAACGTGTGCATTTGTCTCGTCGAGGTTTTAAGAAGCATGAGCCTAAAAACGCAAGCCTAAAGCCACCTGAACCCTAGATAACCAAACAATGGAACTTCCATATTTTAAAATTTTATTCAATTATTTTAGGAGCATATATAAATGCATTATTACTGTTATAACCAGCATTTTTTTCCGAGTAATTGCATCCTTTATTAAAATCAGACATTCATAGGGATACATATTATGTCGAGCAGAACAGAAAGCCACACATGGTGCCGGAACGGAAGGGAAGAGGATGCCTTAGCGGGAATGAGGCTCCCCATTGAACTCTCTCTTTTGGTGAATGAACTTGACATTTTGAAAAGTTTAGAGGTATTTTGTGCTTGTAGACGGGCCAACCATCGTGCGCCGGGCTTGGGCCGGGCTGCACAGGCCCAAGTTTAATGCTGTCATCATCATTGTGCTTTTTCACTAGTATGTAGAGAGACGATCGACCTTGAAATAACAATAATACTACATCTACGAAAGGTGCTACCTAGGCCTACTTAACCTTCCATAAAATTCCTTTCTTCCCCCTTATTTTAACCGGTGTGGGCCCCAGCTGCTAATCCTGGCCCAATTAACAAATCCCACATCAGCTTTTACGTAAGATCTGAACGCAAGCTTACCTATGTCTAGCATTGCTCTTGAAATAATCTGTCGCTGACTCACTGTAATCAGGGCTGTGTTGTGTCTAATCATACAGTGTTGGACAAGGATTAATCGTACTATTAGCAAGGTTGTTGAAATAATCTGCCTCTGACTCACTGTAATCAGGGCGGTGCCAGGACCCACAAGGTCAGCTATCTGCAACACCTGCCCCGGACGTAATCCACCCGCAGGTCCCCGCGGGCCCACGCGTTTTCGGTGCCGCCGTGGGGCCCGCGCCCGCCCATTTCCATTCCCACCCGAACCCGGCGTAGACACTTGCAGACCCGGTCCACGCCGCAAGCAACGGCCGGAAGCCCCTCGCCCATCCCCACACCGCACCCGGAAATCCGCTCCGCCCACCCACAGACAGCTGCGCCCCACCACCACGCGGTGCCCACACGTCACGCAGGGCACCGCGGCCCACCGCGGGTGAACACGCTACCGGCCAAAACCGGCCACCTGGTTCGGCGCGCCACCAGGTCGGTTCAAGCAAAGATTAGCACCCGGCTCACCGACGCGCGGGCCACGGGTCCGCTGGTCCCCACGCGTCATTGGGTGGAGTGGGCCGGTTTCCCCGTTTCCGTTGGCGGTGGATGGGCGCGGGGACGGCGTGGGCCGCGCTGTTAGGGGCAGCCGTGTAATTAGCGACGCTCCCACACCGGTAACGGACGGCGGCTTTTGCTTAGGCGGGCGGCAGCGGGGAGGGGGAGGGGGAAGCGAAGCGAGGCTGCTGCTCTGCTCTGCCCTGCCCACCGCCCTCTCTGCTCTCTCCGTCCCGTTCCCCTCCATCCCCTTGGATTTCAGGCGAGGCGGCCGGAGCGAGCTAGCGCGCGGGCGGTAGTGCGGCGTGCTGCTGCTGCTGCTGCTGGTCGCCGCGGCCGGCGCGCAGGTAAGCGAACAGCTCCGCCCCTCCTGCTCCTCCGCCTGGTTAGTTAGTTGGTTCGCTGGCTCCTCGGCCTCGAGATGTCTGGGACTACTATGGTTTTGGTTTTGCTAGCGGCTGCACGAGGCGCGGCCCGCGGGGTCGACGGGGAGGAGCGGGGATTCGTCGCCCAGGCGAGCGCCTGGGCTCGTCCTGTTCTGTTTCCGAAAAGGGGAAATAATCACTGGGGTCGGCGCCGCTTGCTCGCGATTAATCCCCAGGCCGTTTGGTTCAATCCGCGACGAGTTGGGGGTGATTTGGGGCGGTCTGTGCGAAGAGGAAGACGCTTATAGTTCGCGCGGTGCGACTGATGTTTCCGTTTCGATCGGCTGGTTGTTTGCTCCTTCCTAAATTAGTATAGTTTAGTACTACTACTTCTCCTTATGTTAGCTGCTGGATGTGGAGTGCGTGTGGTTGGTGCCGCGCATTCATCAGTAGTAGTATGCGTTTTTGGCCAATTAGAGCGTGTGGTGCAGTGAGGGTAGCTTATGTGTAAGGTTTCCATTTGTGTGCTATTTCATTTTCAACCCCTTGTCGTTTTCGCACCATCGAATGGTGCATGTGGAAATTGGATTTGGAGGAATTGGGGATGTGGGGGATTGTAGATGGTGGGTTCCTAGACCAGCCTGGAACTGGAAGCGCCTGAGTATACCCACCTTTTGTTTTGTTTTTTGCACACAACATAATTGAACTCTATATTTTGTACGTGCTGGCTGGTTGTTCCTTAAATCAGTAGTAAGTAGTACTGCGTGCTTAAGCTGCTGGATTTTAAATGCGTGTCATTGGTACCGTGCATTCATCAGCAGTAGTAGGTGTTCTTGGCAATTAGAGTGCGCGGCTCAGTAAAGCGCAGCTTAATATATGCGTTGGATAGTTTGTGTGGCAGTTGGAGGAATTGGGGTTGTGGGATTGTAGTGGGTGGGTTCCTAGACCATCCAGAAGCTACTGAATATATCCACCTTTTGTTTTTGGGCACAGGGTATAACTGAACTCTAGATTTTGTACGGATTTGATGCTTCGTTAGAAATGTAATTTTTGTGTGTAATGAAATGGCTTGTGCCCCAAACTTTATATAGGCTAACTCTTTTGTTTTGTGCATTTGGTGCATGGATTGAAGTGGCCAGGAGACAGTATGAGGCATTGGCTTTGTTGCAATATCCGGAGCGGTGACGACGACGACAGACATGAGGTGGAACATTCCAAAGCTCAGGGGAATAAGATAGACGGTTCGTTCATGTACTTGTGTGTTTAAACATTATTTGGTTCACTCTGCATTATGGATGCAAACTGAATAACAATTGTATCCCTGTGGTTTTAGATGTGAATTTGAATGCTAGTTAGGACTTAGCACATACTCAGACCAGGTGTATGTGCCATCAAATATTAGGTAGAAATGTACTTCAAGCTGTGCCCATGAAAGGTTGTGCAAACCATTCTTAGATTCTTTTGAAGGGCGGGCCCTGATTCGTGAAATGTTCTTGCTATGTGTCTAACAATGAATAAATTGGTCTACCATGCTCCACAGCATAATAAGCTCAATTTTGTAGTATTTTGGAACTGCTCGAACAGCGGTAACCATCTTGTGTAAGCACAACGGTTCTCAGGAAGAAGAATTGACATATCCAAAAATGTATAACAGATAAAAAAGAGAATAAAGCTAGATATGGTTAAAACCTGAAAGTAAATACTTGCGAAGAAAGTGTGGAAGGCCAAGACAATAGTTGAAAATGGAAATAAAAATAGAAGAAAGAAAAGAATAGGGCCCAACCGGGTTCGAACCGGTGACCTATTGATATGCAGTTAATTGCTCTACCACTGAGCCATGGACCCATTTCTATCCTTACATTTGACCCTAAATGAATAATTTCACAAGCAAATATTAATTGGTTCACTCTTTATTGTCAATGCAAATTGAATATCAATTTGTATCCTTGCAGATTTAGATATGGATTAGAGTGCTAGTTAGGAACTCTCACACACTCATATCAGCTGTATATGCCATCATAAATTAGGTAAACATACTTCAACTTGTGCTCATGGATTGCCAGTTCCAGCTTTTATGTAAGATGCTATTTTTGGGTTATGCCATTCTTAGATTCTTTTGAAGGGACCTAATTGGAGAAATGTCCTTGTACGTGTCTTAAAATGCGTATATCAGTCTATCACGCTCCACAGAATATACAATACATAATTGTCTTAATTTGAAGTAATTGAGAACTGTTTCAATAGCGGTTAACCATCTAATGTAAGCATAACAGTTCTCACAAAGAAGAATCGACATGACAAAAAATGCATAACGGATGAAAAGGGAACTATTTGAATAGCGGTGTCCATTTACTGTAAGCATAACAGTCTCACAAAGAAGAATCGACATGACAAAAGGGAACTATTTGAATAGCGGTGTCCATTTACTGTAAGCATAACAGTCTCACAAAGAAGAATCGACATGACAAAAGGGAACTATTTGAATAGCGGTGTCCATTTACTGTAAGCATAACAGTCTCACAAAGAAGAATCGACATGACAAAAAATGCAAAACGGATGAAAAGGGAAGTAATTGAGAACTATTTGATTAGCGGTGACCATCTAATGTAAGCATAACAGTTCTCACAAAGAAGAATCGACATGACAAAAATGCATAACGGATGAGAAGGGAATAAAGCTAGATATGGTTAAAACTTGAAAGTGAATACTGTGACGCAAGTGTGGAGGGCCAACACCGTGGTTGACAAAGAAATAAAATTAGAAAAAGAAAACAATAGGGCCCAACCGGGTTCGAACTGGTGACCTATTGATCTGCAGTCAATTGCTCTAACAACAGCAAAAGCAGTGGGTCCATGCACAGTGGTAGAGCTACCACTGCGTTATGGACCTGCTGCTGTGGTTGTTGTTGGTCATACATATATGTGGAACCATCTATGAGCTGTGTGTATCAATATTGGGTGGTAATGGCCTCTGTCATATTCGAGTCCCTTGTTGCGGATTTTCACTCATATGCCTTATAATGTATTCTGTAGCAATCTGTTTGGGAAAACGGTTTCAAATATATTATGTTATTGCTTGTTGCATCTTTTTTCCTTTTGCTGACATGATTTTTATGCTGAGTCCTCAGTGATTGCATTTTTATGTCTTTCATCAGGCAAGCAAAAATCTTCGAAACCTGCTGATCAACCTGAGCCAGATATTTCCCCTCCTACAATTGATGTCCCAGAACTGTCATTTGAGGACTTGAAAGAAAAGACTGACAATTTTGGATCGAGTTCTCTGATTGGTGAAGGTTCATACGGACGAGTATATCATGCTACCATGGATGATGGCAGGCAAGCGGCTATTAAGAAATTTGATGCATCTGAAAATGAGCCTAACGATGAATTTTTGAAACAGGTGAATATGTGTTGCCTATTTAGTTTATTTAATCTTAACTTTCTGAATGTTATACCTCGTGCATTGATGATAGTACCAAAGGAATTAAGCTCTATAGTTTTATTTTTATAACTCCAGGTCTCACTTGTATCAAGGCTAAAACATGAAAATCTTGTGGAGATGCTGGGCTACTATGTGGAGGGCAACTATCGTATACTGGCATATGAATTTGCAACAATGGGTTCTCTTCACGATGTTCTGCATGGTAAGACTTGAGAACCTAGTGTCTTTAACATGTGGCATACTCATGAAACTATTCTTAAGGGCAACAAGTTCAGTTATGATGGACCTGCATCTATTTCTCTATAAACAGGAAGAAAAGGAGTTCAAGGTGCGCAACCTGGCCCCGTGCTTGACTGGATGCAGAGAGTCAAAATTGCTATCGAGGCGGCAAAAGGTATAGAGTACCTACATGAGAAGGTTCAGCCTTCAATCATCCATCGGGACATCAGATCAAGCAATGTGCTTCTGTTTGAGGACTTCAAGGCGAAAATTGCGGACTTCAACCTCTTAAATCAAGCTCCTGATATGGCAGCACGTCTCCATTCGACTCGTGTATTAGGGACATTTGGATATCATGCGCCAGAGTAATTGTCTAATTCATACTAATACATTTTTGCATGTTGTTCAATACCTTGCATTAACATAACTCAACTACAGTTGTTCCAGCGCACAAGTCTTGAAAAAGTTAGATATAATAAAATTTTATTGCAAAAGTAAGTATTCATATGGTTTTAGTTCATAATGATGTCAATGTGGTAGGGCCCATCTTTAAATGACAGCTGCTTCGAAAGGTTTAATATGCTGTTTGGATGAAGTAACTTTTAGACTGTCCTTGTCACCACGTGGCTTGCTATCGTACGCGTTTTATGTTCAGCTGGTTGATTCCTATTGACTTCAACCCACTTTTTGTGTACGAATGCCCTACTGACGGTTCTCGTAAGTTGTAACTGCTTAAGTAGCCAGCATAAACCACATTTGTGGTGCTCCTGATATAGCAATAGATTCATGGGGTTGACATTCAATAGACATGACCGGAACAAGCTTAAGTGCCATGACCTGCATATTATCATAGCCAAAGTAACCCTGTCGTGGATGTGGTGGCGCATCATGGCAGGGAAGCATTCATGTTTCATGCACACAACAAATAAACACTGCAGCATAGTTCTGGGAACCTGCTGACCAAATAAGAATGGACCAAATGTAGTGGATTAAAGAACTTCCTGATTTGAACCCCATGATGTACACCTGTATCAATAGAGTGGACGCCCAAACCGCTGCACGCTACCATTCTCTGTGGCAAATGTTGGAATTGAAAGTAGTAGTGTATGCCGTAGTCACCGGGAATATGGTGCACGGCATGGCACATATCCTCTAGAATTTATCTTAAAACCGTTATTGTGCTGCAACTCGACTTGGGGTGATGAATCTGATTACCATGATATGTGCCAGTAAACTGATGCTCACTATTTTTGTCCATTTTTTACTCGCGTAATACATTACAATTTGCACATCTAGTACATTTTTCTCTTCTTCACAAGGATAAATGAAAACTACTTGTATGACTTTTGAGCATTCAATTTCGTACTATCACCTGGTCTTTAGAACCAACCGTTGGACTTGAGAACCTCCACATAATTGCATATCCAAAAAGAACACTAATAAATCTGGCTTTAATGTGTCGAGCGAGTAGGATATGTGGAGTTTTAGACTGGTAATCATGTTTTACATTGATAACCATTAGCCCCAACTGTCATATTTTCGTGTGAGACTAATATCGTTTGATATAATATTTAATTGTCTAGATGTGTAAAATTTATTCGCCATTATATGGTCGTTTGGATATCAACTTATGAACTTCCAACTATACGGTGGTTGGCTTCTGCTGATATTTAGGCATGCAGCCTTTCTCTGCTAACTAATGTTCCTATATAGCGGCACTGATATTGCGTATTTGGGATAAAAACAACAACACACTTATTTTAGGATAAATATGTCATACTAAGGAAAATGGCTGACTTTTGGAGATTGTATTTCTGTCTTTGGGCATCGCCTAGCACGCTGTCGGACATCATGCAGCTTTTCTCTGCTAACTAATGTTCCTATATAGCGGCACTGATATTGCGTATTTGGGATAAAAACAACAACACACTTATTTTAGGATAAATATGTCATACTAAGGAAAATGGCTGACTTTTGGAGATTGTATTTCTGTCTTTGGGCATCGCCTAGCACGCTGTCGGACATCTGCTTTCCCAGTTCGCACACGACAAAATATGGCTTGTCAGCATGTAGTGTACATTTTTGGACATTCTGCAGAACATCATTAATTTGCCAAATAGGTGTGTGCGTCATCTAAGCGACCGAAAACCTTGTGGTGGACTACATAAGCCTAGTTAAGCGGTAGCCTTTTATTCCAGACCTAGTTAATCCTATATTTTCAGGATATTTGTCTCAATCCACAAAGTTAACATTTCCGGCAACAATTTGATATTTGCTTTCCGGTGCCTACAAGAAACAAAATATGTTTACTGATTGATTTTGTTTGCACTTCTGACTGGAAGGAAACCGGTCAAACAAGAAACACGACGAACTGCAATTTTTGTGTTTTGCCTGGACGATGTTGGTTTATCTGTTCATAATGATTATATTCTCAGTATTACCCTGCGTAAACTAATCGTGAAGTTACCAAGGACTGGCCCTAAGAAATATTCTAGTGAGATCAATAACTTATATGGCAGCCACTATATCTTTATCTAGTCAGATTAACATTGTAACAAAAGGCGTACTTTTATTCTTGGCATGTGTTGCGGAAATATTTGTAGCCCTGCTTTTCATGCATTTCTTCTCTAATTTGATGCTCATGTTTGTTGCAGATATGCTATGACTGGCCAGCTGACACAGAAGAGTGACGTCTACAGCTTTGGCGTGGTTCTTCTTGAACTTCTGACTGGAAGGAAACCGGTCGATCACACAATGCCTCGGGGGCAGCAAAGTTTAGTCACTTGGGTATGTTATTTTGTTAGCATACTGTTACTGTGTTTGCTTATTTCCCTGTTACTCTAGTGAATTTCCCCTTGTCTACTATGATATATATCAAGTGCGTAAAACTGAAGCTGTAAAAGTTATAAAGAAATGCTGGGAAAAGAGAGGCTTCTTGTTGCAAGTTCAGAATTATAAATCTTAACAGTACAGCAACTATCTGACTGGATACCCTCATTTGCACACTGATTTATGTTTTCTAAAAGTTAGCTTGGCTATAAGTTGTTCGGGATGTGAATTTATATTTAACTCACTAGTGTACTTGTACAGTAACAGCTCAGTCCAGTTGAGTACTTCAATCAGTTAGTGTCTGAAGTCTGAACACCAGACCTAACAGGAAATTAGATGATAACACACATTTTCTGTCTAGAATTTTGGATTTTTGTAAGTCTGAACACCAGACCTAGCAGGAAATCGGGTGGTAACCATCATCTATGCACACTTTCTGTCTAGGATTTTGGATTTTTCTATTGCCTATTATTTGCTGGTTCCAGTTGGTAATTAGTGAGCAATTGGCACTGATTGATAGCAATCTGGTTGTGCAATGTTTCTCTCCAGGCTACTCCAAGATTGAGTGAAGATAAGGTGAAGCAATGCGTAGATCCTCGGTTGAAGGGAGAATATCCTCCAAAGGGAGTTGCTAAGGTATGTCTATCTCATCCACTTTGTTTATATGGTATTCTCCATTGTTCCGCAATTATTTGTATCGGTGAACCATGGGGTCGCTGGTGCTTACCCCCTTGCATTCTCAACCTGCAGCTTGGTGCGGTGGCAGCTCTGTGCGTGCAGTATGAAGCAGAGTTCAGGCCCAACATGAGCATCGTCGTCAAGGCGCTCTCTCCTCTGCTACAACAAAGAGCAGCAGCCCCGGCAGCCTCGGAGCTGGCCCCGGCACCCGGGGCTTAGGAGGTGCTGGATCATGAGACTTCCCAGCGCTTACTAGCCCGAAATGGCTGGCACACCGGGTGTGATTTGCGAGCGGTTTGTAGATTTGTTTTCCGGGATTCTTCAGTCGGATACATAATATTTTCTCTGCCAGTCTGTTGCTGCCACCCTAGGGATTTTCTGCTGTTTGAGATTTGTGATGTACATTTGTCTGTTATATAGGTGGTCAGTGGTTATCTGTGCTCTTTTTATTGGAAGTGCATATCGGAAATGTCCAAAACTCGAGGCGTCTTTTGGAACTAGATTAAATGCAACATGCTCATAACTTCTTTATTTGGTGCTCCGTGTGGTCACCCGTGCTAGTATCTAGAATCAGTTTGGCTAATTCACATCTAGATGTTTTCGAAGGATGTCACATCTAAACTTCCGCAAATAACGCAGCAACAAGAAACAAAAAAAACTGGAACAAAAAAAAATAGACCATAAACATAGTGGACATCAGGTTAAATATGACATAGATTGGCAGAACTATGTCACATATAGATGTGTCCTAGATAGACCCATCTAGAATCTTGACAGAATCTCAGCAATGTCAATTTTTTCGCATCTAATCTCAAGATGGATGGCATGATGGGAAATTCGGAACCGGCTGTCCAAACACTTATAGCTTTTGAGTGGGGAACAATTCTTTTGATTCAAAAAACTTGGAGATACACCTCGACAAAAGGAAGGGTGGCATGGCATATAGCTCGACAGCTCGTGAGTACAGAAAAAGAAAGTGGGAGCACCTACTCATCAGGTGCCTGAAAAGAGTGTTTGCATTAGTCACTTTGTTTCCCGTCCGTTAGATCGAAATCCAACAGTCCACATCCCCCCTTCCTCCTCAAGCATGACTCGTTCACGTTCTTCCTCACGTAGCTGCCCTTTGACCCAGCCCTAACCGTTTGCTATCGCTGCCCCGGTCATCCCTCTACCCGCCGACCCCCCGTACCTCCCTCCCCATTAAGTTTTTTTCTCGCCTCTACCTGGGACGTACAACGGCTCGCTGTTGCTTGCATCGTCGTCCTCGGCTCCGATAAGGTCCCGGCTCAGCCTCGGTGTGGTTGACGCTTGTCACTGCCGCTCCTCACGTCATCCCCACCTTTGACCTCATGCAAAGCGGAAATCGACTCGCACGGGAAAAAAATCAGGCACCTAACAGTTAACAAACCAAAAAAAAACACGTCATCCCTACCTTTGGATTCCAACTGTTTAGAAAAACAGGATATGCATTGTTCAACTGTTTGCCAAACCCCTTACGCCTCCAAGTTCCCTAGAAAGAAACCACGAGCATCATGTGATTTGGCCTTCTCTCGTGAGGTGGACCTCACTGGTCAACATAAGGATTGTGTGGTGGACCCTGATGGTCAGTTATCTCGTGCAACTCTGGTACCGCATTTGGTCCAACTCCGTCTGTCGTGTGTCGGTCGTCTCTGTTTTCATGGTCTTCGTGTCGGCTCGGATCTGGTGATGGTTTCTGGAGAGCAAGAAGGTGAGGGGCGGGCAACACGAGAATATGGTGTCTCTGTGGGGTCTTTGCCAGGGCGGGTACCGTGAGAAGCTGCTTAAGTACATGAGAATCAAAAAATGACGTGGCTACAAGTTGTGATAAGGAGGATGTGGTGGCCGGAGGTGGCTCATCGGCCGCGCTGAGGGACAACGGTGGCCGCTACCGTGTGAAGGTGGGGGAGAGTAAAGAAGAGACAATGTTGCTACTGCGAGGAAGGAATGTCCCACGATTCAAGCGGGGATTTTTTGGACGAGAAGGACCCCAATTAAATTAAATTAATTAAACAGATGAAAAATGTTTCAAATAATTTGACCAGTCAAAAGCTGTTGTGGCGTTGCCTAGTCAGCAATCAACACGGTCAAAACCGGTCAACGCGATCAAAACCAAGGAAAGGGTTGATTCCTGAACCAAGTGGCAAGTGTAGGGTGTAGGACAACCGGTTTTGAAGTCGAGGGTTTAATCCAAAATCGAGTGGCAACTTGAAGGTTGTAACATGGACTTTTCTCTCTAATTTATCACTTCGATGGCAAATGATACTGGTTCATATATGCATTTAAAAAAAGAATTCTCAGTTTGTCGACGACAACAGACATGAGTAATTCCCCGTTTGTTGTTCACTCAAAGCAACGGTAACAGTATACGACGGGCTTCTGGTAGGAGTACAACATAATTAAGCACCCAAGAAAACTCAAGCAGGAACTTGAATTGTACTATGCATAACGGCCGAGGCTGCAAGGCAGAAAGCGCGGTAGTACAGAAATCAAATAAAATCATGGCAGAAACCAGAAGCCAGCCCACCATCCATGTGATCGAATGTGATTCAGTCCTGAAATGTGATGGATAGCGCGCATGTAGATTTTGGAGGAGCGTGTATGTTGCCCCTACCTAGGAGTAGCTAGGAATGTGTTAGACCCTCTTCCTCATCCTGTTTCGCTTCACAAGGAGAAAAGCTCCTCCGACGATGATCACGACGACGACCACCACCGCGACGGCGCCGACTATCATGACGACAAGATTATCTCGAATCCTCTTTCTTGCACGCACACGTCAGAAGCTATATATTTAGCTCAAAATCAATCACCAACTTCTACTCCCTCCGTTCCTAAATATTTGTCTTTCTAGAGACTTCAGCAAGTGACTACGTACGAAGCGCGAATCAATCTGTGGTTGAGTTGGTTAGGTGGACAGTGGTATCCCCAACCCATCAGGGTTCAAATCCTGGTGCTCGCATTATTCCTGGATTTATTTCAGAATTTCCGGCGATGCGCTTTCAGTGGGAGGAGATGTTCCCGTCGACGACGAGGCGCCTACGGTGACTTCGTAAATCTCAAGATGATATGCCGGCTCAGTCTCTCGGAGGTGCTCATAGGGGTAGGGTGTGCGTGTGTGCGTTCATGGGAGTGAGTGTATGCGCGTGTATATGAGCGCTTGTGTCTGTACTGATGCTAAAAAAAACTACGTACGAAGCAAAATGAGTGAATCTACACTCGAAAATATTTCTATATATATCCGCATGTGGTAGTTCATTTGAAATCTCTAAAAAGATAAATATTTAGGAATGGAGGGAGTATATATTTAGGAGTAGTTTGCAATAATGCATGCATGGTGTGAGCTCACTTACGGATCCTTGCTCCTTTCCCCATGGGCGGCGGCACCGGCGCGGATATCTCGAACCGCAGCGCAGGTAGCAGTTGTAGCGGTGCACCAGATAGCTCCAGTTGGAACGTCTCGGGCGAAGAAAGAGGAAGGTAGCCCCCACGGCGGCGATGAGGAGGAGCGAGCATCGACGCGCCATGACGTTGACCATTTGTGTTGGCTTAGCTACGAGAAAGAGATGGAGACGATATTACACATTAGTACTCCTCACACATCGAAAGAACAGCATCGTATACATACATAGTTCAACATCCGTACGTGCATTCCTCGTATCACAGGTACAATACAAGTGGGAAGAATTAATCACCGGACATTTTTTTTGAAACATATTAATCACGCACGGTTTTCCTTTCCTTTTTGACAGGTGCGCGCGTGCAGACGTGTTCTACCTCTTGAAATGGGAACGACTACTCAGAAGCACCATTTTTTGGATTCGCAACAAAAACACACACCATTTTTCATGTTATATGATGAGTCGACGAGTGCGAACCAACCTGTGGTTAGATGGTTAGAGAGACTGTGGTATCCCAAGCCCACCAGGGTTCAAATCCTGGTGCTCGCATTTATTCCTAGATTTATTTCATGATTTATGACCATGGGGTAGAGTGTGCGGGTGTGCGTTTATATGGGTGAGTGTATGCACGTGTATATAAGCACTTGCATCTATACCGTGTTAAAAAAATGATGAGTCGACAAGAAACACGTCACACCTCGACCATTTCCCACCTATGTATCATTGCTCTGATTTTTTTTCCAGACCACTCGATTTCATCCCACTCGTCGCATTAAAATCCACTCATTAAGTTGCAATGACTCTATCAAAGTATTCCATGCCACTGATGCAGACCATACTTGTCCTCGACACCATGGCTGAGACCGCGAATAGATTCAGAGTTCCCTTGCGATGCTACTTAACAAGTTCGACTTCTTGGTGCTTAAAGTTTAAAATATGTAATGAAACCAATAAAGAAACACATATATGTCCTTTTTTATTCGTTAAATTTTGGTGCCACATCAGCCCTGAAAGTGAGCCTGTCTATCATATTTGGCATTAGACATATTTGGCATCAAACGGCTCTCATTTGACCAGTTAGTGCTTTCGGCAACGCGATTACTGAAAATCAATGTTTTCGGCAAATTTTTATGAAAACGGTAGATTTCTGCACCGAGCAACGCAATTGTGGTGGTTTTTGATAATTTACTTTTTATGTAGATATGTATATGCTATGACGCGCCTTAAAGCAAACAAGAAATGATCATACTATAACAACTAGATTAGCACCGTCAAGTTTTCTTGCATGGGACAATGCATGCAACTGGCAACTTTTCCCATAGGGTATGAGATGCTCATCATGACCAATGTAAGCAACTGGCAACTACTTGCCCCTTATATCACAGAAGAAAGCTTTATTCGATATTGGGGACTTAAAAGCTTGAGGGCCAGATTTCTAAAAAGGTTCTGGCCCATGCCGGGGGAGGACCTAATTGAGGAGGTTATGAAAGAAATCAACACATATACTATCCCGAACGGTTGGAATGATACGGCGATCGTGATGATTTCTAAGATTAATACACCAGAAAAGGTAACACAATTTAGACCGATTAATTTATGTAATGTGGTATACAAAATAATTGCAAAAATGATGGCTACTCGATTGAAGGTTTTTCTACCAGAAATTATTAGTCCAACACAAAGTGCATTTGTACCGGAAAGATTGATAACGGATAATATTTTAGTGGCATATGAATGTTTTTCCACAATCAAGAACAAAAGAGAAGGTAGAGAGGGCTTGTGTGCTATAAAACTTGACATGCA